TGTATCTACATATATTTATCTATCTATCTCTCTCTCTCTCTCTCTCTCTCTCTCCCTGTCTCGCTCTCTCTCTCTCTCTCTCTCTCTCTCTCTCTCTCTCTCTCTCTCTCTCTCTCTCAGGGACAGCGAGCGGTTACGCTGTCTCTGCACAAGAATCTTTCTTTGCGTACATTAAATATTATTTACCTTGATGTATAATCTTGGCCTCAAGCCAAACGTGTATTCGTGTGTGCGTGTGTGTGTGTGTGTGTGTGTGTGTGCGTGTGTGCGTGTGTGCGTGTGTGCGTGTGTGCGTGCGTGCGTGCGTGCGTGCGTGCGTGTGTATAATATCGTTCTAACTATGGCTTCCGTGTCTCTCGAACTCTGCTTGATGGGATGAGATCTCATGTGCGAGCTACGTAGAACGAGAATCAGTGCATTCATTTAGTCGATGCACACCCACGCCCGTATCGTCTGTTCTGTAGGTGAAAACAATGCCATATTACCTTATATATCCCCACCTACATGCACCTATATATCACATAATCTATACAACTACTGTATTTATACACCACGCATTTACGTCTATATATATATATAGACGTAAATATCTCGTTATAATACATCATGCAGACATCTTTTCATCCATATTTGTATCAACTGATAATCGTGACCAACAAAAAGTACAATAGCCGGGCTGATACAGAGGAACAAATAATACCGAATAGTACCATAGACAGTATCACAGACGCCATCACACACACACACACACACACACACACACACACACACACACACACACACACACACACGCCCATACACACACGCACGCACATACACACACGCACGCACGCACGCAAGCACGCACACGCGCGCGCACACACACACAGACGCACACGACACAGACACACATACATACGCACACAACACATGCGCACACACGCACACGCACGCACCAGAAAAACACGCACAGAACTCGCTACTTGCCGTGAAAATTACATGAGCGAAAAATTGCTCCCGATTAGAAGTGCGTTTTTTGTTGCAGATGTATTTTAACGGTATTATGACGAAACCCGTAAAACCTTTTAGCGTGCAGGCTTCGGAAACAGAGCACCGAAGAGCGGAAAAACACGCGCACGCGGAATAAAAAATAGCGCCGTTAAGGCATTACGTTGCACTACGTAAAATCTTTGGCGGAGGAGGTTTTCGAACATATTGTACACGTACCGGCCGTCTTTGTTGTGTAATGTGGCTCTTTTCTCGCGTGTCAAAGGCACGGCTCAAACCTCAAATCTCGTCGTCATCAGCGTCGTCATCGGCAACGTCGTCAGCGTCGTCGGTAGACGGGCTGAGACGTCATGCCGTCATCCGGTCAATCGTAGTAGCGAGGTCAGGTGTAATGATATCTTAGAAAATGTCATTTTGTTTAATATAATTAGGAAGGGTTTATATATGGATTCGGGAATATATAAACAATTTAATAATATTAATTGAATATGTCTACACCGCAAATTTAGCTTGTAAAATATATTACCGGGAGTGAATAAAAATTATTTAATAATTTGTTTCACTACTGATATTACAGTATTGAGTCTATGTGTGCGTGTACCTGGGCACGCGTGAGCGTGCGTGCGTGAGAGTGCGTGTGTGTATGAGCGTGTTTGTGTGTGTGTGCGCGCGCGCGTGTGCGTGTGCGTGTGCGCGTGTGAGTGTTCGTGTTCGTGATCGTGTTCGTGTGCGTGTTCGTGTGCGTGTGCGTGTGCATGTGCGTGCATGGGCGCATGTGTGCGCGCGTTCGTACGTAGTACGTGCGTTAGTGTGTGCGTATACGTGTGTACGTGTCAGTAGCATTCCCATGTGAAGAGAGTTCGCGGTTTAGGGACCATTAGCAGGTTAGGCTTGTCATAGCTATATAACGCGATGCAGTAATTAGCATAGTAAGCGATCACACCGTCAGGTTGACCTGTACTGACGCCGCTCAGCTCTGTTTGAACATCTGACAGCAAAGCTTCAATTTTTCATTATGATATAATAAGCATTAATCCACCAGAGGACACGCAACATCCACATTTTAGGAGCAAATTATTCCGTAAATTGAATTTTGGCCCCGTTATGCACATAGTGTGTTGATTAGCAAACACGATTCGTGTACCTTTTTGCGGGCCTAGTATTAATTATTTACTTACTTTGCTGATAAATTTTTCTCTAATGTCGTTAATGCGACGTCGCGCGAAAACGTAGGCGTGCGCATGCACACAGTGAGCGGGTGCGTGTTATGAAAAAGGAGAGGGGTAGCTAGGGGGCAGGGGTTAGGGTCGAGTGCTGTATATGCGCGCGCGCACGTGTGTGT